AACATCCACAGTGTGAAAAATAAAATTTTTTTAAAAGAGAACTAACTTTATACAAGTGTAGAAAGGGCAAACTTCAAGTTCACCCTTCCAATTCAATGTATTTTTCGTTAAGAAAAAATGAGATATTTATCTGTAACTTGCCGTATTCTATAATTTTATCTGTCAAGAAAAACATAGATACATTGAAATAGCGAGTGGTTCAGTGTCAATCATTCTCGTCTTATTCCTTTCTACTCGATAGTAACCGTCAGAATTCAAAACGTGTTTGGACAATTTCGTTCCTTTTATCTATTTCATTTTCACGCACTTTCCATGGTATTAAAGTTCCACCCATATGTCGTTGATGAAAATGAAGTGGAAACAAAAAAAATATCTGAATTTCTTGAAGCGCATTTCTGATAACTATTTGAAGTATTTGTTACTTCGACCATGTGGTCTTCTAACTATTCTCAATGAAACATTTTCAGAGAAAAATGTTTATTCTACGAAGGAACTGAAATAGTTTGATGATAAAGAGGCTACAGAATGAGATAAGTCCAATTTTATCGTCATTTAATATTTACTAAGTGTTATTCCACCGAAAAAATCCAGTTATTGAGTTATTTTTGAATGACTGAAGAATGATTGGAAATGACGAACCCAGTTCTGAAATCTCTAAAGTTTAATGAAGCTGAATAAGTACTTTTGTATTTACCACAAACCTGAACCTGAACAAAAATTGTAGGTGTAATGAAAGGAAGAGTATAATTTCAGAGAATTTTCTCTCTTAGGTGCTCATTTTGTAAATGGTAATTTTTGGAATGGTTCGAAAGAATTTCAATTGGACTCAAACGCAAGTACAATATATTCACTTGAAAGATTAGTAATTCAAAAGTAATATATCAGATAGTTCAGCCGCTTTCTCCTTTCCAACCAATTTCTCAACAATCTCAAGTGCAAATTCGAAGGAAGTCGATGGCCCTAGGCTCGTTATCAGATTTCCATCGATTTCTACTCTTTTTCCTGTATAATTATAACTCCCTCTTTCTTCCATTTTACTCCACATGGCAGGATAACAGGTGACATTCTTGCCAATGCCTATTCCATGCATGGCTAGTGCTACTGGACCTAAAACAGAGATGAAGTTAATAATGAATTTTCAGTAGCCAGTGAAAAGCGAGTTCTACTCTTCAAACCACTGCCCTTTACCGAAGATTATATGAATATCTAGTCTCGAAGTCTCAGCATATACTCACTAACTGCAAGTAGTTGGAGACTTCGAGCGAGAACTAATGAAATGCACCACGAAGCATTGTCAACCACCTTCAAAACAAATAATAATAATGTCTTTATTTGAACGACATTTTATACGAAACACAATATATATTATACCAGTGGTTCCCAAACTATGAGTCGCGACCCACTAGTGGGCCGTGGGAGCAATTTGCGTAGGTCGCGGAAACAGATTGAAAACATTTAATACTTTTGAATTGTTTTTCCCATTTTGGATAAAGGCTATGGTAGAGTATCCAGTTCTTCCGAACATAGCCTTAAAAGAGATGATAGGGTTTTCAACCACATATTTGTGTGAGAGGGCATTCTCCACTTGTATATTTAAAAAATAAATATAGAAAATAGCTTTCAACTTTCAACCCATTTATAGAATATCTTGTAAATCGTAAGCACCAGCTCCACAAGTTACATTAATTACACAGGTCTCATTTCTTCATTTTTTGTATTAGTTTAGTTTTAAGATTCTGAATTAGGAGTCTTTTTTCGTACTGTATTTCATCTTCAATTATATCATCCTTACCATTTTCTTTTAGAGATGTATTCCTCAATAGTGAATTTTCACGATAATGATAATAAAAATATTGTAAGTAATAATAATTATACTTAGGTTAGGTCCAAAGTGAGTGGGTCTATTCGACCCTCCACCGCAACCCGCAAGGGTTTATTGTGGCTGACACCTATTCACACTCATCCAAATAAACTCAGCTTCTTAACGAAGCTGTTTGTATGTAAGTTTGTATGGTGAGTGGTCTTTCAGGTCAGATGGTAAGTGCACGGCTCTGCTGAACTCTATAAACCTGATTTGGTCCCCAGCGGGGCAGGCACAAAGTATATGCTCTGCTGTTTCATCGTTAATGAGGTAGTCGGGTAGTCAAGGTGCAAGATTCCCACCTTGATACCCACTAT